AAAGGCTAATATGTCAGAAAAGAATATATAAATTGAAACAGCTACAGAGAAATGAGACTTTCATTTTTAAATCTCTGGTTAGAACTTTGCCCAGATTGTAAGAAAAGAGCCATTGTAATTTAATTATGGCTTTTCTGGTAGGTACCCTACCCTATGGAGCATAGTGGAGTTAGGCACTTATAACAGTGCTGTAAATGCTAATGGAATAAATGAATGAATGAGCAAGTCTAATGATAATGGCTCTTTAATGTTCTGGGAAAAACAAGATGTTGATGTAAATATCCCATACTCTATAAGCCACCGTTTATATAATAGAAACCACCTGCCTACCCAGAAACCACTCAACCTCAGAAACCACTGTGAACTTTCTCCTGGACAAATCACTTTGTGCTGCTTCTCTTTCTTGAATCTTTTACTGTATTTGATGCCACTGAAAATATTTTTTTCTTGTTTTGCTTTCACCTTGTGATATCTCAATTGCATTCCCTTTCATTACTCTTTCTAGTTTACTGTGAATTTCCTCTTCCTTTTCCAGTGTGGCATCCTCCCAAGGGTTTATATTTGAGTTTCTGGGTTGTTTAAATATTTTATTTATTTATTTTTATTTTATGTGTATGAGTTTATTGCCTGCATGTATGTAAGTGCACCTGTGTTGTACATATGTTGCCCACGGAGGTCAGAAGAGGGCATCAGATCTCCTGGAACTGGAATTATTAGCTGCCATGTGGGTGCTGGGAATTGAACCCAGATCCTCTGCAAGAGCTGTCAGTGCTCTTAGTCACTAAGCCATCTCTCCAGGCCCTGCCCGCATTTGACTTTCTGTTATTCCATTATACTGACCTTACTTTGAAGAATTAAATGTAGACCTTGAATTGAACTAATCGTTTAGATCTCTGGTTGTGCACTTCATTGTGTGTTGCTCACAGAATGCAGCTTGCTTGTGTTTCTCTGGCCCTCTAACACATGGAAGCTTAGCATTCTGATTAGTTAGACATCCTATAATCTAATACATGGACAGTAACAGGTGCAAATTTAGTGTTGATGAGTTGGCCCTTTGACCAGGGTGACATCGTTTATGAGAATTGTGGAAAATGGGGCAGCTGCTGTGTAGTTAAGCACAAGAGACTCTGCCACATGTATTTATTAGGTGATCATGAGTTTTTTTAGGTAGGATTATCACACCTGAGCTGGTGGTGGTGGCCTCATTGTCCTAACTTCAAAGATTTTCTTTAAGAAATTGAAATGCTGAGTTGGAAAGCTTTTTTGTATTGGAACAGAAGCTTTCCACCACTGTTTCTGG